TATCTATAAAGTATAGATACAATGAAAAATAGACTAAAATCACAGGTACCTGACATTACTTATTTATCATTTAATAAAAAAAATGGGAAAGAACATACCTCAAATGTGGCTGTCTAACAAACTGAAAAAGTGTAAGAAAAATGCTATCAGAAGGGTCAAATATGCACATTGAAATCTTCCAAACTCCCCCCCCCCCTCCCGCCTATTAAGGCGTCCACATGGAAAGTACCCTGGCTACGCCCCTGACATGGTATAGACATAAACCTATATGAATCCCTCTTAGTACAATTAGCAAGAGACGATGCCAAGCCCAAGCTTTCCACTGAAGACGAAAAGATTGAAGCTTACACGAACTTGCAAACAAAGGAATCAGATCTTCTAAAGCAAAACTATATTTGCTTTGCTGGAATATGCGGTGGTATTAGAAACAAATGATGATTTCGAGTGAAACATGGCCTTACAAATATGCATCGAGAGAGCAAGAACTAGCAAAATCAATAACATTTAAATACAATTATTTTTTTTTAATTCCACAATTTCAGTCTCGTTTTTTGGAGGAAACCTTCGACATATTTGAGGTTACAGTCGAAGAAAATAGGAGGGTTGAACAAGCAATAGAAATGGATTTTTTAATATCAATTTTTCAGTGTGTTTTCATTGCAAATTACAGACGAACTCAAACGATTGTCAGTTGCTTGAAGCTCTCGCAGCACGTAGTTATCAGTTATCAGAGTTGATACCGCTGACTACGGCGATGATTTCTTACTGAAATTGAAACTGCGACGTAAGCCCAAATATGACGAAACTTTTGTCACCATTTGATACTTATAAAGACAAACTAGAATACAAAAAAGAGGAAAGAGAGATAAAGAAAAAGAGGGCTAGTTTAAAATAAAAAAAACAACAGATTTTTATGAAGAATGGGAAAGATATGATTAAAATCTTATTGGAGGTTTCTTATTATGTCATGCGACTCTATATGTAGTATTTGAAAGAAATCAGACACGTACTATCGATTTTGAAGGGTTTGGGAGGGAAATCAGAAGAAATAAATTAACAACTTATCTGATAAAACTTTGACACGAAAATAAAATTTAAAAAAAATGAAGCAAACGAACGACCCGAAGGAATATGGTCCGAACTCGAAAGGGGGTCACACTTTCTTTCACTTTTAAATTTTATCAAAGGTCGGAATGTATATAATTAACCAAAACACTACGATGTAACAATGCTACAACAAAAGAAGGGGACAGACTTTCAATGAATATCTATAATTTTAAATTTCAGTAGTAAAATGTTATGCTTTAGAAGGGGGGCTCGAGATCGCTATTACGAGCCTGTAAATATTGCATATCTGTTATTTAAAAAAAAACCCATTTGTTTACTGTATATTATCCTGTCCGAACCTTGGTCAGATACGTTCGAACCATGGTAAAAATCGCTCGATGAATTTAACTTCTAGTTGGAACAGAGGTATTCAGTGTTTTGGTGATATATTGACAATTGATAAAACCCGAAAGGTTCCAAAACACTTTCCAGTTGATAGTACAAGTCTAGACCACTGTCACTCGGAACAACAGCTTATTGCTTGTAAGCAAAACAAGAACCGTCCGAACCATGGTCAGTTTGCCCTACTTAGATACGCAAAACTGAGTCTCCACACAGTAGCACAGTACATATATTGTGTATAAACTAATATTACATAAATAAACATTTGGCACACAAGTAGACTACACTAAGGTACATAATTCTGTGTATCAGTTTTTCACTTCAATGAACGGTGTTGCCAAATTTACTAAAAATAGAAATTTCTGTTAAATACTTTCAAAATGCCACTCCATTATTATGATTATGATATAATATAATATATATTATGATATAATGTGGCATGCAAGTAGAGTACACTAAGAACATAAAGAGACTTAATCAAGGATCATTATTCTATTTATTGCTGTTGAAAAGTTTCAATTCCCAACTGCTTAAGTACTTTCTCTTCTTTTGCTATAAGTACAAACCAGTAGAGCTTCAGTCTCGACAGAGACTTCTGGTTTAATTAAATAACTTTGAAATCGTGTTTGAAGAATAATTATTTCATCGCAAAAATTATCTACGATAGTTATATTTCCATTATTATAACTCAGCTGTTAATTACTTTATTTATGAAATTTACGTGGAAAATATTAAGTACCTACATGTATGTAGAACTAAAATATTAAATTTTTAAAAAGGCAATGTACAAATGCTCACGTACGGCAGCAATTTGTTGTTTTTTTAAAGATGACAAATTACTAATGGATGGATAATAATTAATTCAATTCTTTACAAGACAAAAATACACAAAAAATTATTTCTACAGTAACCCAAATTTTAAACTACACGTAGGTCTAAGAATTATGAACAGTACTGTAAATATTCAGTTAATAAAATATCTTAAAAGGTAATTAAATTTATAGCGTGATTTTAAAATTTTAGAAAAGACCAACTGTTTAAACTAGTTTATTATTAGAGAAGGAAAATTCCTTCCTTCCCTGTACCTAAATATGATTGCTATTCAGTATAATTATGCCCCCCCCCCCCCCCCAAGTGCCTTCCTCCTGAAATAAAATTCTTACTGATTATTTTCAGTATATTTTAATAAATAATTAATGTGTATTGTAACACAAGAAAAATCAGTCACCAACATCAAACAGTCATTAAACAATAGTATTTCAAATTATACATGTGCCAACAGTAGTATTTTGGCAGAGAATATGTTTCAAATTCAGTTTAAAACTAAATCCTTCCAAGTATATATTCCCATTATTTATTTATTTGTTTATTTCAATAGGAATGCAAAAATCAGATCTTAAAATGAAAGGGAAAAATATTAAAACTTCTTGGAAATACCAAGTGACTCTTTGCCTTCTGCATGTTCGGTGAAACGCGATTTCCACACCTCCACTGTGTCTAATGATTTTGATTGACAGGGCATGCACTTGGACTTCCTGTGAACCATGTGAATTTGATGAAGGAAAATAAAAGTCGATGATTACTGTCAAATGGATTTGTTAATCTTAAAAAATTGATTACCTTTACTGCTTGGAATATTCAGGAAAAAATGATAAGAGATTTTATTTGATACAACAGATATCTGAGAATCGAGGGTCTCTCTCTCTCTCTCTCGTACATTTTTCTGTTCAATAAAAACTATAACCATGATAACAGAACATTATTTAGACTTTTTTAAAATTTAATCTATTAAAGATAATTTGAATGCCTCTTTCCATCATCTTGACCAAGTATAATCATGGCCGGTCCGGGAAATGTCTACCGATAAATGCAGAAGTTAACTGAAATAATCATCATAAAAGAATACAAAAGACACATAAATATAGAATATTTTGCATTAGAATTTTAAAATACAAGTGTTTTTATGAAATACGTCAACAGACAATTGTGAATTTTAAAAAAAATCCGTTATTTTACTCATAATTGCCTTGGCGTAGATATATACATGTATTGTTGTTTAAACCGAGTACAATTAAATTCATTCTATAAATAGTAGTTATATCTTCTAAAGTCCACAATAAATTATTAGTGAAACAAATAAGCATATTTACATGTACTATATAAATAGATTAATTTTATATTTCAACTACATGTGTTCGGTAACAAATACACTTGTTTTATGCCAATTAAAATTGTGTTATGAAAATATTGAATTAAAACATAGGTAAATATATGTACAGTAAAAAAATGTTTTTATTATTTATTTATTTATTTATTGTTTATTTATACCAAAGAACCTTAAATTAGAATTATAGAATAATAGAATAATTTCAATGCAAGGAAAAGATGGGAGGCATTCTGAATAAATGGTTCATCTTGCCTTCACTGTTTACTTTGCACTCACGTTTGCGCTCCGTTTGCGTTCTGTGTTCACTCACCGTTCACCAAGTTGCATTCAGCTTTCGCACTTCGTTCACTCACTGTTCACTCTGCGTTCGTTCACCGTTCAGGTGGGAAAGTACAACATTTCAGGGACTGTAACTATAAGCCCTACCTGAACCAAACTTGCATAAATGATGCATCTAGGGATGGACACTACCAGACTTGCTTCAGATGCTGGATCTGACCTATATTTTCATTCCCAAGTAACTATAAGCCCTACCTGAACCAAACTGATCAAATTTATACACATACAAATTTTCATGTTGCTTTACTAATATATCTTCGGCGGGGCATTCATGTCCTATGGACATATTTCTAGTTTTTATAGTAAATTTTGATGTCATGGGGCGGAGCAATGGAAAATAACATGGAATGCCATGTGCATTTCAATTCTACTCAATTAGACGGTATTTCGAATTATTTTAAGATTGTTATTTCAAGTAAAAATGGAAATATAAGGAATCACTGTCTAGTTAGGAGAGTATGCCAGGGACATCAACAATAGTGGGAAACAAGGGATAATTTTAACATAACTGGCTTTGCCCATTCTGCAAATTATCCCATTTTTCCCACTATTGTTGATGCCCTGGCATACTCTCAAAACTAGACAGTGATTCCTTAAATTACTTGGCACACAAGTAGACTACACTAAGGTACATGATTCTGTATATCAGTTTTTGATTTTGATGAACAGTGTTTTGCCATGGTGACTGAAAATAGAAATTTCTGTAAAATTCTTTCAAAATGCTACTCCTCCTACAGTTTTGGTCTGATTTCAATATAACTTCATTTCAATGAACGGTGTTCCATGGTTACTAAAATTAGAAATTTCTGTGAAATTCTTTCAAAATGCTACAAGGAGGTACACCAACAAAACAATAGTTTTATGTTTAAAAAATAACAAACCTAATTGTAAACTTGTAATTTGTAAAATTGAATAAGCAAATTAAGCTTTTGTGCATTTCAGTGTTAGTGCTGTTTTATTTTAATCATGTGAATGTATTGTCAAGTTTTAGGTGTTAATTATTGAATTAAAAAAATTTAAATTGATTTTCTTTTTATTTATATAGCCCAGGATTAAAGGTGACATTTGATTTGGGTTCACAAGGATTCAGTGACTGCTCTGTGTTATCTGACACTCTGGAAATTGCCCTACAAAGTGGAGCTATTTCCCCTTTCAAAGTTAGTTCAGATGGATTTAAGTTCATGCCCTTAAAAGGTAAGATATACGTGTTTCAGTGGGACTAAAGTAATGTAGAAAGTCACAGGTCCTTTTCGATTTACTAAACAAGAGAAAAGGAGGACTTAATGCTTTATTACATGTTAGGCACATGTATTTTTCTTTTCAATTTACCTTACCTAGTAATTCATTTGAATGAGTTTTTATTTTTAGCTCACCTCGACGAAGTCTTTATTATATCTTATGCTACACCCTCGGTGTTGGTGTTAACGTTAGCGTCCCGGTTAAGGTTTTTTGGAGCAGGTCCATTCCTAAGTAACCATAGGCCCTACCCAGACCAAACTTGCATAGATGATGCATCTTGGGATGGACATTACCAATGACCTTGTGACCTTGACTGTGACCTGTATGCTAAAAATAGCTTTGTCGAACTTTGTTGACACAGGGTGTATAGTCTTTCACAAACACATTTTGGTGATCTGACACTTATATTGGGTCACCAATATCAAAACATATACTTTGCCATTATAACAATGAGAAGGGAGGGGTATCATTTAGTGAGTTCATTGCTCACAGTGCTTCTAGTTTTATCTCCATGTCACATTGGATTGCTGTTTTTGAATAAAATAGGCATTTACTAAAAATTATATAAATTGAATCTTTCTTGTTTTCTCTTTAGACTGGAAAGAGTCCAAAGGGTAAGACTTTTATTTTTGTTTTACATTTAAGGATAAATCTTTTTGCTATTATATAGGGTGTGCTTGCCTTTAATTTTCAATTTGATAAAAGTTATCATTTGCTGTTGCCTTAATGTTGATGAAAATGTAGTTTCCTTTTACTGTGCTTTAATAACCTAGCTGAGCCTAGATCTGCAAAATATCAGTCTGAGAAAACAGCTTTTTGCAACACTGTTCTTTGAAATAAAGAATTTTAGATTCAATGTTTTCAAAATTTTTCATGCAGATTTAGTTTGGATAATTGCTTTAGAAAATGCAGAGTCAAACCTGATGTTGATAAAAAGTAAGTGAATGGTAGACATTCTGTAGAAAATTCTTATAATTTTATCATTCTTTTTGAGATACATTTCCAAAATGTAACAAAAATTTACATTCTCCTTTTCAGTTTGTATTTTGCAGAATCATTCTTTTTATGCTTATGTGTTTATGTAAAACTTATATCAAGGTTAAATTAAATAGTTCAGTACCATACTTAAACGTTTTATATCTACATTTTTCTTTGCAACAAAGTTGAGAGTATATAGTAATATGCTTATGAGTGTGAAGGTTACTGAACTTTTTTTTTTCTGGCAGTGGCTTGTAAGTCAGAATTGAAAGTGCCCTATGACCAAGGAATGCTTTGCTTTGGAGACTCATATACCTATATGGTCACCTGGATAACTCATATAACCTATTGCTGTCTGTTTTCTTTATGCATTCATGTAAACTTTTTAATATTTTTCTCATGGAACCACATTATCAATTCATCATATTTGATCTACCGTAAAAGTGGATATTTGAGCCAGACACAAATTTAGCGATTTGTCCTTAAAAACTGGTAACTTAATTTTAGTGAGATGTTATTTTAGCGATTTTATAATGCACATTCAAGGAGCTATTACAAATAAAACACAATTTTTATTGATATTCAATTTTAGCAATCTCGGCACCCTCGCTAATAATGCCAAAATTAGATCCTTGCTAAAAATTCTACTTATATGGTATGAGATATGGGAGTAGGGGGAAATATTGGGAGTAGGGGATATCATTTTAAAAACTATGTGCTAACAGTACCTCGACTGGTCAAAAACTAGTAAGAAAAGCCTATGCAAGTGTAAGGTGTATTTCTACCATCTGTTTGTTAAACTATCATCTGTAAACATGGTTCAAAATGCTTAACTTTCCAATGATTCAATACTGCTTTCAGTAAATTAAAAACTGGAAACAATTATGACAGACAACAATTAGATATAGATTCCTGATAAACATTTGGTTTTGATAAACATTGTCATGGTCACTAAGTATTATTTTTAAAAATCTCCGAAATATGAGGGGCATTTCAAAAGTTCTGAGAACGGTTTAAGAAAAATAACTGTTTCATGGAAATTATTGATATACACATTGTGACATTATTTTATAACTTTTATGATGTAATATTTCCAAAAATGACATCAGACTTCCAAATTTTTTGGAAACTGACCATAAATTTGATGTAACAAATGACACAATTTGATCAAATTAAAATTTTTAAGACAACTTTTTTTCATTACTCATACGCAAGCTAATGGATGCAAATGCCAGTTGGTGAAATTACATAGATACATTCTTTCATAGGGTGTTCTATTTTTGAGGCCTTCTTGTTCTGAATTGGTTAATTGAGTCTCAAACTTAGCATGTATTTATTGAATTTTGCTCAAAATATTGAGTAAAAAAGACCTAAGAAAAAAAGTTGACAAAGAAAACAGGCGACCTTCACTTATTACAAAATTTGATGGCGTAACTTCGCCAGGTCTATTAATCAGATTTGTGGGATAGATGAAGGCTCAAGAAAAGTAAAGTTTAGTGTGCCCCATATTTTCTCGTAAAATCCAAAATGAAGCCGATGCAGTTGTAACCCCACCTTCCCTCCACATATACGCAAATTTTAATCCAGGGAAAATAAGATTTTTAGGTCACCTGAGTCACTCAGGTGACCTATTGCTATCCGTTTTCATCTGCCATCATGCATCGTGTGTTAACATTTGAACATTTCCACTTCTTCTGTGAAACCACTGAACTAATTTCAACCAAATTTGGCATAAAGCATTGATGGGTGAAGGGGAACAAAAATTGTAAAGTTCATGGTCCCTGCCCCCTGGGGCCTGAGGGGTGGGGCCAAACCACTAAAATTGATGCAATCTTTAAAAATCTTCGCTACTCCTAGACATCAAGCAGTCAAACTGTCTGCATGATTGTAATCAGCATTGAGTCCTCTACCAAAATTGTGAAATTCATGGCCCCAGGGTCAGAGGTTCTAGTGCTAGGGCGGGGCTATATAAATTATATAGTGAAAATGCATAATTTCTTTGAAAATCTCCTAGATATTAAATAAACTAAGTAAGTACATAGTTATGTTGAGCAAGAGTGGCTCTACCAAAATTGTGAATTTCATGGCCCCAGGGTCAGGGGTTCTGGTGTTAGGGTGGGGCTCTTTTGATTATATAGTGAAAAAAACATTGATTCTTTGAAAATCTTCTCTGCTCCTAGATATTAAATAAACTTATTAAGTACATAGTTATGATGAGCAAGAGTGTCTCTTTCAAAATTGTGAATTTCATGGCCCCAGGGTCAGGGGTTCTGGTGTTAGGGTGGGGCTCTTTTGATTATATAGTGAAAAAACATTGATTCGTTGAAAATCTTCTCTTCTGCTCCTGGGTATTAAATAAACTTACTAAGTACATAGTTATGATGAGCAAGAGTGCCTCTTCCAAAATTGTGAATTTTATGCCCAATCGTCTAGGATTCTGGTGTAAGGGCGAGGCTCTATTGATTATATAGTGAAAATGCAATTATTCTTTGAAAACCTTCTTCACTGCTCCTGGGTATTAAATAAACTAAATTAGTATATAGTTATAATGAGCAAGAGTGCCTTAACCTGATTTGTAAATTTCATGACCCCTGTGTCAGGGGTTTACCCATTTTGTGTAAGTGGGGTCTTTTGATTATATATGAAAATACTTTAATTCTTTGAAAGTCTTTTCCTTTGCACCTGGGTATTATGCCAATGATCTGAATATATGTATTTTATGATGAAAAAAGGTGCCTCTATCAAATTGGTTAATTTCATGCCCCCTAGGTCAGGAGTAGGGGGGGGGGGGGTTTACATAGTCTGAAAATAGATTAATGCTTTGGAATCTGCTCTTTAGTATTGATCAACTATTTATGAAATAAAATTTATGATAAAATTTCCAAAATTTTGAAATAAGTGGCCCCAGGGACAGTGGTTCCTTTAGGATGGGGTGCATGACTGCATGGTTATAAGTTGAAGTGCATTTTTATGGCGTCGGGCTTGCCCGATCGTCATCTAGCGATCAGTCAGGTTTACGCGACCGCACGTGTCAGTGGATGCATCCGCAATAGAAAATAGCAACAGCTGTAAACCAATTTCTTTTAAAATGATCACAATGAATAATAGCTTGAATATAAAATTAAATCAATTGTATCTTCAATTAATACTACTACAAAACAACGATATTATGTTTAATTTTTACGCAAGAAAAACGTTATGGTTGTTGCGGATGAATTTCTACTGAGAGGGTGCGTCGAATGACATGAATCACATTTTTGGGACCGATTACTGTAATACAAACAATCTTAAATACGGTAAAATAATTACAAAATAAACACGAATACAACAAGACTATAATGATTGAAATTCTTAATCTTATAGCTTTACTTTTGTGATCTTCAATCCAAATTTAGCCGAACAACCTACGATATTGACCAGTAATGCCAGTATTACTGTATTTATCCATTTCCTCCATTTGTTTACCGCGCCTTATCGTAAGTCGATCGTACTTGTAACATTAGAGTCATGGTTGTAGTTAAGATGCAATCACTATACAACAGAACAACACTCTGACAATGGCAATTAATTAAAATTATTTATGAAACCCTTCATATGTCTTTGATTGACTGAAAAGAAATTAGATTGATGTAGAGGATGGACATTTCTGACGATGTCTGGTCAATTCGAACCCTGACTCATTCGGACCAGGACACAAGGCTATCAGGCCCTATATACTGTATTTGTGTTAAGACTATTTTTTTTTTTATTTTATTATTCTGTTACTGGAGTCACTCACTTGACCTATTTGCAGATCTTTTGAAATTGTTTTTCTTGTTTGACGCCATTGAAGCCTTTCAGGCTTTTGATTTCTTTGTTACTCTGATCTACCTCTGGATATTAAGTAACTACAGTAAGCAAGCTAAGTGTATTATTATGATAAGCAATGGTGCATCATTCAAAATTGTGAGTTTCATGGACTTTGGTTTAAAACACGAACCAAATTCAATTGTTCGAAGTTGTTACATGATACTCAGGTGACCTATAAGGCCCATGGGCCTCTTGTACATTTCTGTGTAACTTATAATCTTTTTTGGAATCAAAGGTCAAAAGCAGTAGTGGGTTTTAGCGTGCCGAAACTGAATTTTAAGATATGAAAATAGGTATAGAAACAAGTCAGGGGCAATACTTTTGTACATTTTATTCATAAACAGGAAGATTCCTGTTACTCAAAATATACTTGTTGAAAACTGCATTAATATATTTCAGTTTTATACAGAACATGTTTTATTTCATACAATGGAGAGCTATATAAAAGACCAAAAATCCAGTCGTATCATGTAAATATAAATCTGAAATAAATGTTGATGATAGCATAATTGGACATTGCTAATGCTAATAAAAAAAAATATACAATTAATGAAAAAGAATACATACCATAGTCCTACTCTACTTCTTTGCACATTAAAATTTTTTTCGAAGTAATTTTTTTTTAAATAAACCTTTGAAAGCACTCTTAAAATCGTCGCATGTGGACAAAAACGTGACTTTTCAGTATGCTAAACATTCCATATTCTGACATCATTTTTGGAGTTATTATGTCATAAATATTACAGTGACGTCACCATATGTGTATATTTTTCTTATCTTTCCAATGATATCAAACTCAATAATTTCTGTGAAACAGTTAGAACTTTTGAAATCCCCTCGTATTTCGAAATACAAGGTATCATGCTACTCTTTAGTTTTATTCATATTTCAGAACAATATTGTTGCCTTGCTGATTAAAAAGTAGAAATCTTTAAAATGTTACACTTAGTAAATAGAGAATTCTACAGGTGGTATCTGATATCTCTGATATCTTGAATAATATGTATATCTTAAAGGAAGTTGGATGTTCTTCCACATGCTCTTTATGTCATTCTACTAGGGTGTTTCACTTAGTACAGTTTTGATCTACTCTCAAGAAATAATGCAAT